GTGCTGCTGCCGCCGCCCCAGGGCTGGAGGGGCTCGCTCTGACCCTGCCCACTACTGGGGGTGCCCTGCCCACCCATGATCAAACAGATGCACTTGGACTGGCGGTACCAAGCACAGAGTGTGGGGGAATTTGGTGGCTGCGGGGGAAAGTGAGGCAGTTGCAAACCTCACTGCCTGCGCTCTTCCTCCTGATCCCAGACACTGCAGTCGGGGTCACTAACGTGTTGATTAAAAAGATTCGAGGACCAGCCCTGCTAGCACTCAGATTTGATGTGCATTTAGTGGGAGGATGCTGCAGGAACATGTTGCTGTGGTGGTGTCAGGCACAAGGTACGAGACAAGCAAGGCTGGGGAGGGAATATCTTTTATTGATGGAGACTTGGACAAGCTTCCGATACAGGCAGCAAGGGAAGGAGGGAGTAGTTGACTAGTCGCTTCCATCCCTAGTTTAAAAATGTTTGGCTGCAAAAATTAGCCCCAACGTGATACAGCAAAAAAACAAGAGTCTCAAAGCTGAGACGAGCCTAGCAGGACTCCCTTTGGAGTCAGCAAATACCATTCCTTATTCAGACTGAGTTACTACTACTGAACCCTACGTTGTGCTGCTCCCTGGGAGAGGGGCTGAAAGAGCTCTCCTGCACTGTATCTGCAGCCCCTGCCGCCAGGCGACCGACACAGCACAGAGAACCAAACCCACTTCACTGAGATCCATCCCATCCTCAGTCAGGACACCTCTGATGAGTTATTAAGCAACTAACTCTACTGCTCCCACAGCTTGTAAATCTTGGACATCGACGGTCAAAGTTGACGCTAACTCCCAGTACTATGGAAAGATAGGAAGAGAAAAAGCACAGCTGCCATGTCGGACATTACTGGCATTACTGTCTCAGGGCGATCACATATTACCTTGTCAGGTTGTAAGAGGCTTATCTACTGTTTGCCAAGCCTATGAGCTCTTCAAACGAAAGCGGCTTTATAGGTACACAATACTTGTAGACCAGACTGCAGACGCTTTTTTCAGGGTTAGTCCACCTAAGGGTTAGTTTGGGGTTGGCTCAGTTTAAGAGTCATCAAGGTAACACTCACAGAAAAAGAAGGAAGAAGTTTCACAGCACACTGGAAGTCTCTGTCAGACAAGTATTTATCGGGGCCACAGTCAGCCTAGAAATGAACACAAATGGCAAGGCATCAGCTGTACAATATATAGAGAAAAAGGCTGAACGATTTGTATTTCGTTTTCTACAAGTTACTGAGGCAACTGCTTCTGCAAAGTTTCCCTCTAAAGAAGGATGGCGGGAAAGTGCCATTGAAAGGGAATGCTTTGTATGTTCTAAAAAGAAAAATATCCGGAAGCTAAATAGTGCCACTTAGAGCTGAATGCCAAGCGCCCACGTTTGCACGCTTGTTATTCACAGGCAGCATGTGATCACACACTCTGCAGGTAGGCGTCACTAAAAGAAGATCTTGAGGATGAAGTTAAAACATGGAGTACTTTTGTTGGGGACAAAGGCAGCCTGCCACATAGAGGTTTGCCAAATTCATGTATAACAATCTTGAAGACCCAGAAGTAGGATGAAATTTGAGATCCAAACATACCCAGCTTAACATTAGTCGCTCCTTTGGTTGATTCTTACTCTTTATTAAGAAATACTTCTTACGGATTCGCCAACCTGTTAAGAAAAAAAGTTTCATTTTTGTTTTTGAAAAGCTACTGAATCATAGTAGGGTTTTTGTGCTCACTCGATTATGCTTCTCCAGTAAGAAAACTCTTCTACATTTACAAAGCCCTCTCTTTCTCAGTGAGGCAATATACCAACATATATAGCGGCATGTCAAGGTGGAAAGATACATAAATAACTTAAGGTTCCAATGGCTAGTATCAGCAGTAAGACTCCAAATCCTTTATCAGATTCAGTCCCATATACCTAATGACAGTCCTTCTCTAACTTGGCTCCAACAGGCACCATGATTCTCCATTTTAATTACATCTCCTTCACAAAGACATTTAAGAAGAGAGAACTGATAAATATATTTCCTCTGAGGAACATTAACATGTGTTTCCTGGACCTAGGTTCCAAACTACCAGTTTCTTACCAATGTCTTTTAGTGGCTCCACCACCTCCCACTTTGGTTCTGAGCGGAAAAACATTGAAACATGCTGTAAGGCGATTTCTGCAATGAGATTTTTAAACATTGTTAATTATACACACGTTACTGAACATTCAGAGTCAGAAGCAGGCTGCAAGGATTTGGCTTTGCTTCATACACACCAAAGTAGCAAAATTTAAAAGGAAAAAAAAACCAAAAACACGGCTGAAAAGTGTTTGGATTTTTAACCTGTAGTAGGCGAGATCTTCCAAGCAAGCGTACATCAGCTGGCTTAGGGACCGTTAGCTCATGAAGTCTGCCTTTCTTCTGAACTAGAAGCAAGCCTAAGTCACAGTATCCAAGACATCCCTAGAGACTGTTCTGATCCAGATCCAAAGCTCGTGGTTTGGATTTCCCCACGTCTGGTCTGCCCCACAATGCATCAGGACACTGTTATTCATCCTTAATGCCAGATTTTCAAACCGTCAGTTACATTTTATCCTGCAATGACTATGCACAGACTATTCCTATGCTTATTCTACTCTTTGCTGCTCGGCCCCTTCAGGGTAACAAGGGCTGGCTAGTGCCAAGACATGTCCCTGCAGACACTTGGCCGCCAGCAGCCTGCATACAATTCTGAAATAATGAACCCATTCCAGATGGCCGGAGACAAACCGCTCTCCCCCACAGCTGGAAAGGCAGCTCTGAGAGGCGACCACAAGGTGATTTAAGAGGTGAATCAGCCGGCATTTGGAGACAGGGAAGATGGTTCAACAGTCATTGTTAATTGGTACAACAGTAAATTGAAGTAATGGCACACTCAAGGGGTCTGCCAAGACCACAGGCAGTGACTTGATTATTATTAATTCCCCTGGAACACGCTGTAACAGTAATCTTGATGAACTTGCTTGCAATTAATATGGATGTTAGAGTATTTCTTACAGGATCACCACTGTTTCTTCAGTATTAACGAGAGGAGCAGATATTTAATGTATCACTGGTATTTTAAATCTCTTCCCCAGCTTAACATAAATGTCAGAGATGGTTTAGGAAAAGGCAGTTT